GGTGACCCTTCCTCAGAACTGACACAGATGCTGCCAGGCCTGCTGAGCTTTTCCAGTAACTTTGCTTTTGCTCTTCTCTCTCTTTGGGCTCCATCCTTTATCCTATCGTTTACTCTCTAACCCATTTCCCTCCCTATTTTCTGCATATAAACCAACGTTTTCCCAGCTACCATCTGTTCTGAGGAAGGGTCACCGGACCCAAAACGTTAACTCTGATTTTTTCTTCACAGATGCTGCCAGACCTGCTGAGCTTTTCCAGCAACTTCTGTTTTTGTTCCTGACTTACAGCATCCGCAGTTTTTCAGTTCTTTAAAACTCCCAAAGGGTTACACCATGCAATGACATGGACTAGGCCTCTGACTGCAGCTCTCTGTTAAATGGGGCACAGTAAGTGATATGACCTCTCTCGCTCTGTTTCCCACGCCCCCCCCACCAACCAACTCTGCCACACACCCTCAGTGTGCCCTTTGATTCCATGCCCTGTCTGTTTGCTGTGGCACACTCTGCTGCCCTTGAGCCACCTCCTCATGCAATGCCTCCACGTGACAGTCACTCATCCTGACTGTGCTTTCTCATTGTGATAAATATTTGTTGTTTCAGGTCGAACGGGAGAAGTTGAAGTCTGAAGAAGATGCCCTGCAGCTCTCAGCCGAGAAGGGACAGCTGGATCAGTCTCTCACTGGTGCAGAAATGGATCTCGCAGAAACACAAAGACAGATTCAGCAGTTGCAGGTCAGCACTAGTTTAAAGCGACCACAGGTATTTAATAACCTTCATGGAAGCAGTCTGTGAATTCTCTTGCAAATTGCTTGCCATCCATCCTCACTGATTGGCGTGAAGTCAGAGACTGGCATCTCGTCACCAAATCAGAAACGTTAAGCAATTCATCACCTGCTTGCACCGTTACCCTGCTCCTGCCCTCGAACAGTTATCCTCCCCACATATCTTGCCCCTCTACACTTTCACACAGAAGCAACAGCAGTCCATTCAGCCCTTCAAACTTGTTCCACATTTGATCAGTTAATGGTCATATTGCATTTACCCCTCACCTGAACAAATCAGTTTGGATCTTGACATTTTTGATGGATCCAGTACCCACCATCCTTTGAGAGACACTCACCACCTTTAGTTATCTTTTATGAGCTGTGGGCATCACTGGCACATCCAACATCTGTTTCCCATCCCTAATTATCCTTGGGAAGGTGAGCCAATTTCCTGAACAGTCCACCTGGTGCTGGTAATCCAGAATCCTATTAAAAACAGAGTTGCCAGATCTTGACCCAGTCACTGCGAAGGACCAGTGATATAATTCTCAGTCAAGATAGTGTGTGAGCTGGAGGGGTTTTTGCAGATGGTGGTGTTTCCATGCATTTGCTGTGTCCTTGTCTTTGAAGATGGTAGAGGTTGTAGTTTGGAAAGCACTTTTGAAGGAAGTTTGCTGAGTTATCGTGATGCATCTTGTATACAGTACACACTGCTGCCACTGTGCATTGGTGTTGGAGTAAATGAATGTTTAAGGTGCTGGATTGGTGCCAATCAAGTTTTGCCCTGGAGAGTGCTGCGATTCCTGATTGCTGTTGGAACTACACGCTGCAGGCAAATGGAAATATTCCATGTGCTGGGTACCCCCATCATTGACAATGGGAATGTTTATGGAATTTCCTTCTCTTATCCCGGATGCCCTGTTTCCCTTGTTACATCATCATCAGCTTCATTTTCAGAAACTCGCCAGTGGAAAAAACATTTAAAAACCCAAACATGTGGGGGTAAGGCTAACTAATGTGGTTACTGAAAAGTCAACTCCAATGCATTTGTCCAAATATTAGTAAGTATAACTTTTTTTAATTAATTCATAAGATGTGGGCATTGCTGGCATTTATTGACCATCCCTAGTAGCCATTGAGAAGGTGGCAACTGCTTCTTGAAATACTGCTGTCATGTGCTCTAGGGTAGACCCACAATGCCATTGGAGATGGAGTTTTACGATTTTGACCTAACGCTACTGAGGAACAATTATATAATTCCCTATCAGGATGGTGAGTGTCTTGAAGAGAAACTTGCAACTGGTGGTGTTCCCATGTATCTGCTGACTTTGTCCTTTTAGATGGAAGTGGTTGTGGCTTTGGAAGGTGCTGTCTGAGGAGCCTTGCGAATTTCTGCAGTGCATCTTGTATATGGTACCCACTGCTGGCACTGTATGTTGGAAATGGAGGGAGTGAATGTCTGTCGATATGGTGCCAATCTAGAGGAGTGTTTTGTCCTGGATAGTCAAGATTCCTCAGCATTCTTGAAGATGCACTCATCCAGGCAAGTGGGGAGTATTCTATCACACTCTTAACTTATGCCTTGTAAATGATGGACATGCTTTGGGAAGTTAGGAGTTATGGTACTCTCTGCAATATTCCTAGCCTCTGCCCTGCTCTGGTAGACACTCTGTTTATGTGATGAGTCCAGTTGAGTTTCTGGTCAATGGTTACCCCAGGCCATTGATACTGGAGAATTCTGTGATGGTAATGCCAATGAATATTAGGGAAGATGGTTAGATTGTCTCTTATTGGAAGTGGTCATTGCCTGAACATTTGTGTGGTGTGGATGTTACTTGCCATTTTTCAGTCTAAGCCTGGATATTGTCAAGTCTTGCTGTATTTGGACATTGACTGTTTCACTGAGGAGTACTAAATGGTACTGAACATTGAGCTATTGTCAGTGCATATTCCTGTTCCGATGGATGCAAGGTCATTGATGAAGCAGCTGAAGATGCTTGAGTCTGGGACACCAACGTGGGGAACTCCTGCAGAGATGTCCTAGGGCTGAGATGACTGACCTCCAACAACCACAACCATCTTCCTATGTGCCAGGTATGACTCCAACCAGTGGAAAGTTTGCCCACTGGTACTCATTGATTCTCACTGGTTTTGCTCGGGCTGCTTGACATCACCCTCAGTCAAATGCAGCCTTGATGTCAAAACAGTCAGTTTCACTTCAACTCTGAAATTCAGCTCTTGTATCCATGTTTGAACCAAGGCTGCAATGAGGTCAGGAGAGGCAAGCTGAACATGCTTAACAACAGTGACTGAAGTGCTTAGCCAATCTGCCTCATTCAAAAAGCCCATTAAGATCTTTAAAAGAGTATTCTGACTCTTGTGTGATGCTGAATGTGAGGATGACATTGATGTACATGACCACCAGCATGGCAAGGACACATTGATTATAGACAACAAGGTGCAGGGCTGGATGAACACAGCAGGCCAAGCAGCATCATAGTTCATCCAGCCCTGCACCTTGTTGTCTCGGATTCTCCAGCATCTGCAGTTCCTACTATCTCACATTGATTATATGTTGTCTACTACTATCATTACTATTATCATTACTACTATCTACTACTATCATTTTCAAGACCCTACCGGGCCAATCTTGCTACCCATCTCAGCTGGGCATGAGATCAACTTGAAGTTGATTTCATAAATTAAACTATCTTAAGTCCTCTTCTGCTTCCATGGAACTGTCTGAGAAGCTTTAGGCAGGCCTTTCTGTGCTTTCTGCCTGCAGAGCTAAGACAATACCTGAAGGATTCACACACCACCCTCTAAACTGCTGTTGGTCAAAATGTCCTCATTAGGTAAGCACCAGCTTCCTTATGACATTGTTACTTCATTCACAGCATGAGGGCATCGCTGGCCAGGCCAACATTCATTGCCCATCCCTAATTGCCCAGAAGGCAATTAAGAGTCAACCATATTGCTGTGGGTCTGGAGTCACATGTAGCCCAGACCAGGTAAGGATGGCAGTTTCCTTCCCTAAAGGACATTAGTGAACCAGATGGGTTTTCCCCCAATAATCGACAACAGTTTTGTGGTCATCGTCAGACTCTAGATTCCAGATTTTCATTGAATTCAAGCTCTACTGTCTGCCATGATGGGGTCCAAGCCTGATTTCCCTGAACATTACCCCCGTTTCTGGATTAATAGTTTGGTGGTAATACCATAGGCTTTTGCCTCTTCTTGAATGGTATTACTCCCATTCCTGTTTCTTATGTGTTTATGGTCTGAATTTCCTCTGCCTTGCCATATATTTGCCAAAAATGCAGCCAAAACCCCAGCAGATTCCCATGATTGTTCTTTGGTCTGAGGAGCAGATAGAAGGGATGAGCATCCAACAATGGATACAGGCTTTATCTTTTGAAAACCTGGTTTAGCACATGATTAGAGGCTATAGGGATAGCTATGAATCAGTTGTCAAACACTTCTCAACATTAGGGCTGTTGTGCTGTTAACACTACAGAACGATTAGTGCCAGTTGAGACATCCCATGTGTTTTTTTTTAATTCATGCATGGGATGAGGCCAGACCCAGCATTTATTGCCTATCCCTAATTGCTCAGAGGGCAGTTAAGAGCCAACCACATAGCTGCAGGTCTGAAGTCACATGTAGGCCACACTAGGCAAGATAGCAGATTTCCTTCTCTAAAGAACCAGAACCAGATCAGTTTTTCAAACAATCGACAACGGTTTCATGATCACCATTAGACTCTTAATTCCAGCTTTTTATTGAATTCAAATTCTAACATCTGCTGTGGCAGGATTTAAACTGGGGTCCAACAGACCATTACCTGGGCCTCTGGATTAACAATCCAGTGATAATACCACTAGGCCATCACCTCCGTAGTGCCAGTCGAGATGTCCCATGTTCATTTTCTTTATGAATAGAGAAGACTGTAATGTTAGATTGTCACATATAAGGTCTGCTGAGTTAGTGTCAGCACAGGTAGACATTTCAATGTCCTTAGAGCCTTGCTTTCTTCAGAGGAGGTCCCAAGTTGCTGAGAGTAGAGACTTCAATTATTGGTCGTTCAGTACACAAATGAAATATCATCATTCCAAACCTCTATTTTAAAGAAGGCACAAACTGATTTCATGTCAGTGCTTACTCTGGACTTATGTGGAAAGGAATCCGTGTGTTACTGGAATACTTTTTGCTAGGCCTCAGAGCTTCACTGGAGATAGTGCCCAGCTGGAACAGAGCACTACAAATATTTTGTTCTTTATTTTATATCTCCCTTCGATGGACTCTCAGTGTAGTAATCCCAGAAGTCAGCTGCAAAGAATTGACTGCAAACTTTTCTGGTCGGGAGGCTTGTCTGTATGCCTAATAATCTATGACCTCCAGTTGATAGCATTCTGTCTCTGAGTTAGTGGATTGTTTTGTCAAGTTCCATTTCAGGGAATGGAGCACAAAAGAATATAATGCTGACACTCCAGTACCGCAATGATGGAATGCTGTAGGTGGATCATTGGAAGTGCCCAGCTGCGGCTTAAGATACAAAGCAAGGCTATGTCTGCTGTCTGAGATGGGTGCAAAAGATCTCCAGGAACTATAATTCGCAGAAGAGTAAGGGAGCTATCCCCAAAGCCCTGACTAATATGTATCTCTCAATTATAAAACAGTTTATTTGGTCATTATCACTTTGCTGTTTCTGGGAGCTTGCTGAGTGTTGCAAATTTCCTGTGTAACAACAATGACTACATTTCTGAAGCAATGAATCAATTGTAGCATACTTTGTGACATCTTGAATGCATGAAAGGAGCTGCATAAATAGAGGTCTTTCTTTCACAAGACACTTACACGTGCTCAGTCTAGTCTTCAGCACGTATCTCAGAATGCTTAGCTCATATTGATAAGGTTGGCTTCTTTCTTGACAGGGTCTGACAGCTGAGATGGAGCGGAGCCATGGCCAGCGATTAATTGAGCTGACGACCCGTCACCATCAGGAGCTAGCGAAGGAAACCGAGCGCCTACGGAGTGCTCATCAGGAGGCTGAGAGGACCCTGCAGGCCAGGGAACGTGCCCACAGGCAGCGGGTGAAAGGGCTGGAGGAACAAGTATGTGCTCAGCATGTCTGGTTTACATTGTCAACGTCAAAAGCTGACAAGAAACTGTAGCACTTCAACTACTCAGTGGCACAAGACCCGAGTGCCCCCAAAAAAACAGGGGATTTAGCAAAGGTTTAAAAGTATGAAAAGAATAGACAAGGTAAACACAGACACATATTTCCATTGACAGGTATAGTAAAGACAAGAGGTCGAGATCTCCAGATAAGAGCAAGATACACAAAGCGGTAAGATTAGATGATGTTTAATCACACAGTGTTCTTGGAATGTGGAATGTTTTGCTATGAGTGTCAGGCAACTCCAGTATTCAGAAAAAAATATTATTTAATTACAGGACCAAGAGCATAAAAGAATAAAGGGAAAAGCAAAAATATGTGACTAGGTGGGGAAATGCGTGGCTGCATGGCATTAACCCCTGAACGTGGTCTATTACCAGAGCAGGTGAGATGGGCTCAGTCGCATCCTCTTGAGCTAAAGTGCCTATGAATCTATATATTTCTTCAAGTAGATTTTCTGCATTACTTCCAGCTCCCTTGAAAACAAAAGTGGATTTAAATATTCTTTCTTGGTATTAACTGGGGTCACCCATTAATATGCTGAAATCTTTCACTATTTGAGGAAACATTTAGCGTCAAATTAAGTTTTTTGACTGTTTATCAAATCTGCAAAAGTAAAGACACTACAGTTGACACTAGCCTGTCTGGGCTCCAAAGCAGAAGAGGTACTGATCAATATAACAGCTCATTGGAACGCAGCAGAAATCAAGCCCTGCTGTTCCCAGAGTCATCATGGAAGCTAACTATTTTTAAATAGTGATCTTATAGAGATTTGTAAATCATGAGGGGCATGGATAGGGTGAATAGCCAAGGTCTTTTCTCCTGGGCAGGGGAGTCCAAGACTAGAGGGCATAGGTTTAAGGTGAGAGGGGAAAGATTCAAAAGTGACCTATGGGACACCTCTTTCACACAGAGGGTGCTGCGAATATGGAATGAGCTGCCAGAAGAAGTGATAGAGGTGGGTACAATTACAACATTTAAAAGGCATTTGGATAAATATATGAATAGGAAGGGTTTAGAGGGATATGGGCCAAATGCTGGCAATTGGGACTCGATTAATTTAAGATGTCTGGCCGGCATGGATGAGTTAGACCAAAGGGTCTGTTTCCGTGCTGCTGAACTCTATGACTCTACATTTACGCAGATTTCCTCAATTTACCTTTCTTCTAGACCCAGGCTGACAGAAAGAACAGGCCAGTTTTCTGTATTCAACAAGAATGACTATATTTTTGCAAATAAATTGATTCTAACGAGAGGTAAACAACTGTGAAATGTCAGTGTATAAGTCTACTACTTAAAACTCTAATACCACCCCCGCACACACCACCTCCCCGATAAACTCCCTCTTTATTCAGGCATACACACAGAGGTAGACGGGGGGGTGGGGAGAAACATGGGTGTTATAGGTGGAGGGAAAGATTGGGAATGCAGTTCAGTGGTCCCTGCCCATAGGGTTTGCTGAAATGATTCTTGTCCTGATCAGATTGCTGCTTCTTAATCGGACTTCTTCAGATGTTTTACATGTTTGCAGGAGGTACAGGGTGACTAGTTCATACCAGTAAGGGTCTTTGACTTATGAATTGGAAGGCACAGCTTAGAGCAACTGGAAAAGGTAAATCAACTTGCTATCTTCAGACTTGACATTTCTTTTTAACAGCAGAGCTCCTTCTCCCACAGAGACCTAATGGTTTCTGGCAAAACATACACGCCCCAAGTAGTTCAGGTATTTGGAAACCAATCACATTGCTGTTGGCAGATAGAAAATGTTTGTCATCAACCAATCAGCTATTGTCAAATCAACCAGCTATTGTCAGTCAAGGCTCCATTTGAAACACCCTTTAGGTCCTGCTCATCTGCAGAAAAAGCTTCCATTTCTGCTTGAATAAGCAGCTGTGTAAACATCACTTTCAAAAAGTGTCAGGTTAATTGCTTTTAAAAAGTGCAGCAATCTTTCAACAGTGCTTGGTTCGTAAAACAGCTCTTTTTCCACTTCAGTTCACAATCAAAAATACAGAAAATTAAAAGAATAGTCTTTGCACAGGCACTATTCAGCTTTCCCTTTCCTCATCATTATACTATCACAATGCTGAATGGTCTTTGTATATGATGCCAACTCCAGTCTCATGATCAAACCCTGCATGAAGGGCAATTTAGGGAAGACAAAAAGATGGGAACAAGCATTAAGGGGCCTAGCCCTATAATAAGAGACAGCATCTGTAGCAAAATAATTTTGGCAGGAGAGTGTAGGAATTTGGAAAGGAATTGAATTTAATGTTAGAAGTTTTAACAAAGTTTCTATGAATTTTGAGCAATAGGGCCTAAAGGTTGCCTGAAGCACAAGATCCAAAGAACTCAGATTGAAGATTGGGGCTAAACTATCAAAAGGATCTGTTCTGAGGAAGAGTCACTCGACCCAAAACGTTAACTCTGATTTCTCTTCACAGATGCTGCCAAACCTGCTGAGCTTTTCCAGCAATTTTTATTTTTGTTACTGTCAAAAGGCACTCTGTTTTTATGGATCACTGACCCTTTAGTCAAGAAGCAAGAGCCAAAGCGAATTAATAGATTCAAAGCATGCTGTTGGGGTGTTGCGTTGAACCAACTCACCGAGTTACCCAATAGCTTTACTTGTTTATAGGTGGCCACCCTGCAGGAGCAGTTGGATCAGGAGATGAGACGAAGACAGGCCTACATTGCTCAAATGCTCAGGTCAGGTAAGTAGCAACCCAGACTGGACAGCATGCCTTCAACTTATAAAAATGGAGCCAATTTGCATCCATTGGACAACTGAGAGCTTACTGCACATCAGATAACAAATACTCACAAGGCTTCTAACTCAACAAGAGTTGAGTAACCATCCTCTGGAATACAATCACCTGTGAAATCTTTGTTTTGAACTGCAAATCAGACAAACGAATGACCTTATAGAACTCTTCCTCGATCAACATGAAATGCCAAGTGATGTGTAAGCGAGCAATTCTTACCTGCAATGCAATTATTGGTCATAACATCTTAAGTAGCCACTCCATTTGTTCCAGTTTGCCTATTTTGCATACCAAAGGGGGATTCAAACCCCATAGTAAGTGCAAGTGTTCCTAATCCTTCTTACATATAACTTCAATACTGTGAAAGACTGATAGCTTGAAATTATCATCTTGGAAAGTGTCTGAAACTTCCTCAAAAGCCACTGACTTCTGCATCTGTCAGAGGAGAGACCCTTGAGGTTTTTGACACTGTTTTCCAAAAAGTGTCTTTTTTTCTGCTGTTCCCTTTGCCCATTTAAAGGGGAAGGGATGTTTCATAAGAGTACATGATAAAAATGTACCATTCTTAAACTTTACAAGCATCCTGGATTTGGATTTTCGCGAGCGTGTACTATTACTAGCATTATTGAGAGCTTTCCTGTCTGTCCCAGAGAAGCTTAATTGGAACTTACCTGATGTCATTTTGCATCAGGCAAATAGTCCTAACATTCATCAGAATAGGAGGTACAATTTACATTGGGCTAGCTTTTATGGGACACTACAGCACTCCTCTCTTTCTCTCTCTCTCATTCCCCCTCTCTGCCACTTACCCTTCTTCACCCCACCACTATCAATCCAGTTAAAATATTGGGAGATGATGCTGCCCATGAGTATGACACCTCCTCCACAAATTTTTAGACTGGTTAAGGATGGCAGAAAGGCTATCCATTGGATTTTACAAACCCATACCCCTCACCCCACCTTCAAAGCTGCAGGTATAGTTCATAGAATCCTGTGAAAGCAAGCCATTCAGCCCTCCCAGACCCACCCTATCCCTGTAGCCCCACATTTCCCATGACTTATCTATCTGATCTGCACATCCCCAGGCACTATGGGCAATTTAGCATGGCCAATCCACCTAACCTGCACATCTTTAGACTGTGGGAGGAAACCACACAGGCACAGGGAGAATGTGCAAACTCCACACAGACAGTTGCCCGAGGGTGGAATCAAACCCAGGTCCGTGACGCTGTGAGGCAGCAGGGCTAACCACTGTGCCACCATTCCACCCACAGGAAGGGATGTGTAAGTTTGTGATCTGGTCTGAACAAGGTTTATCAAGCTGAATAGTCACTCTAAAGAGTTTAAAACGAATATAAAATTGTCACCCAATTACAATATTCCAAAGTTCTGTCTATTTTCAATTGGTCACCTTGTCCATTGTTGATCACTCATGGTCTTCTTCCTCCTCACCATGTTGCGCCTCCCGCTCTAACCCTGTGTTTTACAGAACAGACATAACTGAGGAGTTCTGCCTCCCTTCATTTTCCTTTGCTGCTACAATATTCAGGGTTTTGGAGACCATTGCCTAATTACCCAATTGGCTAATTCTGGATGTATCTCTGCTGACATTCTGTTCTTTCCAACAACGCCCCGTAACAATGGAATAACTCCTAATGAGAGTTTACTAGTCAAGTCTGGTGGCACAGACTCTTTAGTCAAAGTCCTACCAGACTGCCCTCCAGAAGAACTGGAGTCAGTCGTTACTGAACTGAGTCCAGTTTTACTCCAATATCCAGTCCATGTCTGGCAGCTTTTAACTTTTGCCCTGTGCACAAACTGCTCAGAAGCATTCAGCTCTATGCAATAAAAATGGGACCTTTGAGTATGGGACCATCTCAAAAATTCCTAATATTAAGAATAGATACCATAAGTGGAATAGCAGATAACCTACAGAAAATCCTGTCCACTTTATAAAAAACAACTCCTCCACAGAGAAGATTTTAACTGGTAAATCATAGTGGATTTTTATTGTTTTTTTATGAGTATTATCTTAACCACTCGTTAAGTAGTTGTGTTGCTGTGATACGTTTAATATACTGAGTATGTACAGATTGGGTCATACTGTATGTTTGATAGTTTGATCCTATTTTGTGTTGGACTCTGAAAAGAAATGTGGCTTAGACACTGTAACTACCTGTATGTAATCCAAAGTATGGAAAAGAAAATTAATAGGCATTAATGTGAAATCTTTGTAATTTGATTATAATCAGATTTTTAAAAAAAAATAACTTGTTATAATGTGGAATTAATCGGATGTGTGTCAATTATTCAGGGTATTAAATTCTAAGCATTAGGTTGCCATGGTCGGTAAAACCAGATAATAAACCTGTGTTTAACTATTGGCTGGCCTTAGCAAATGACATTTCAATTGGTCACAGTTTTGAAGTAAATACTATATTCATCCAATTCCCTTTTGAAATTTCACATTAAACTTTCATCCAGCAGTGCATTCCAGATCATAATGAGTTGAATAAATTCTCCTCATCTTTCTTTTACTCTTTTAGCATTTATCTTAAATCTGAGTCCTGTGGTTACTGACCTTCCTGCCAGTGGAAATATCTGTGCAGTTACCTCTGCATTGGCTACAAAAATCACTATTGGCAGTGACTTGTGAATAACTGCATCCAATTTAAAAGGCTAGTGCTAATGTTTGGAAGGTTAAAGCTTATTTTTAAAAAAATGTGAACTAATTTTCTATGCATTATATAAATGTTTGATCAACTGCATAGAAAATATCAAAGCATCTTTTGTCAACTCTTTCCCAGCCATTTGAAATGCATCTGGCAGATGCCAGTAGTCCATGCAATTGTGAGGGTGGGGACATTACAAATGAGCCCAATCCTCTTCTATCTCACATGGGTTGCACTGCATGGCAATCAGGGAGGGCTTTTGCACAGTGGTAGTATCCCTGTCTCTGAGCCAGGAGGCCCACGTTCAAGTCTCACCTGCTCTAGAGGTGTGTAATAGCATTGCTGTGAACAGGTTGACTGAAAAAAATCTGCTTGGCAATAAGGAACAATGACCCCAGCAGTTCCAGGGTTTACTTTACCTCTGCAACAGAGGCCCAGTAGCATGAAGGTTAGGATGCTGGGCTAATAATTCAGAGGCCTGAAGACATGAATTCAAATGCTAGAGTGGCAGCCAGCAAGTTTAAATACAAGAATCTGGAATAAAGTGGGAGTGGCAGTCATGATGATGACTAAATTAGCAAGTTGTTGTGAAAACTGATTCACCACTTCCTCTTAAGGAATGAAATGCGCTATCCCCATCCTATCTGGCCTATATGTGACTCCAGACCCACAATAATCTGGTCGACTCCAAATTGTCCTCTGAAATAATTGCCCAGGAAGCCACTCCTACTTAGAAGGAGCCACTTAGAAGCTGCCACTTTCTGCAAGGCAATTAGTGATGAGCAATAAATGTTGATTTTGCCAGTAACACCCACAATCAGTGAATGTTAAAAAATATTTTTAAGGTCATTCTTAAGGCTTACCTTCCTAAGGTAAGTTAATTCAGCGTAACCCAAGAGTGTTGCTCAAAACCTTCTGAAGACTGTGACACATATATAATCGAGTATGCCGCAGGGGGAACCTACTTATTGTGTTTTTAAATGTTGTGGGAAATCCATAGCTGGGGGATGCCATCGCAACTTTTGATTTTGTGACCAGTTAAAGCTTTCACAGGTGAAGTGAAACATAAAATCCCAGACCCAATCGGTTCCTTGTTTTGTTGTTGCCGGGTTTTCACTCTTGTTGAGAATGGCAAACACAGATTGCTGTTGTACAAAATGAGGATTTCAATTGCACGCAGCAAGTTTCTGCCACAGCTGTCAATCCCATGTGCCCAAGGGAAAGCACGATTACAACATTGGCTCGATTCACTGCGAGAATTCCGAGAATGAAAGGCTCCTTGTTTTTTGGGAAGCTTGTATTTGAAGCCAGGAATTCCTGTTGCCAAACTCTTGCAGCTCCTAAGGTCCTCTCTGTTGATACAACAACTGGTTGTGTGGACTGTATTCCAGGGAAATACAGGAACCAATCAACTGACCTCAGTTTAGGCAGCTAATACTCCATTCAACCATACAATTATAACTAGAGGCTGCAGTGCGAGAACCAAGAAGGATATATAGCATTCATGAACATCTATCCCTGTTGCGATATACGCTACAAACATTGGTTAGTTTGTTAGACCCTATCATACACACACTGCAGAGAAAAATGTAGATGGGAACTATGCTTTGACTACACACGGGGCGTGAGTCTAAATTGCACACATGTTGGTCGATTGCCGAGGGTTTGTATTCCAAGATTTTATCAAGCAGAGTTATTGGACAGTGGGTACTCTTCACTCCATGATGCTTGAGTGGAATGAAGTCGAATTGGATGTGAACAGCTGCAACTGGCAAGACTGGTATATGATGGTTTTTCAGGTCAGTTGGGCATGAACTCCTAGTGCTTGTAACATGAAAGATTGGCTGAAATCTTTATTATTCCCCAACAAGCATGACAGGCTGATTAGCAGCATGTGTAACACGACCTTGGAACAAAGATCCAGTTTTGAGACTGTTGGCAGGAAAACAGGATATTCTAGATGCAGGAAAAACCTATTAGGCCCAACAAGCCAATTCGTTGCTGTCCAATCACTCCTGTTTACCTGTTTCTTCAATCACTTCAGAAACAAATGTCTTTTTTTTGAACCATTTGTTACTGTCTGCAACACTGTCCTTTGCTAGTAACTTCATCACAATACAATTATCCTTTGTGTGAATTCATTGCTTGGTTTCTTTTGTTGTTACTGACATTGTGTACCCAAAATTTGGACCTTTAATTATCATGAACTTACCTGGATCAACTCCATCAAGCCTGTTTGTAGTGTTCACAACTTCAATTACATAAAAATAATGTCAGATGTGACTACCCATTATTTTCTCACCTATCAGTAAAGAACCATGGTCAGTTTTCTTGCTTGCAAAGAAGAAACTCAATCCAAGTAGTTTTTATGAGAACCTCTAATCGAAGCAGTCTCATAACAGGCAGCAAAAAAGTTGGCACAAAGCGCAACTTTACAGAAAACATACATTAGAAAACAAGACTTCTCTGCTTTGCTTTACTGTTCGAACAGAATAAGAGAGCTCTCAGCTGTACAGCTGTGACTTAAAAACTTTACTTATTTTGTATGCACTCTAAGGTCTATCAGCTGCCTGTGTACCTCTACCAGCATACAGGCTTAATATTTAACCCTCTTAATGCCCGAGCACTGTATAAAGTGTACAAATTATAATACATGTTTGTGCAATTTAAACAACAGGCTAAATTTTACCAATACTCAGCTAAGTATACATTTCAGGGAGTTCTCTCACAGAATTCACCTCATTATGAGTAAACCTCAGCAACACAGTGCCACTCTCGTTGTCATGTAACCCAAAGCTGCTGGCACTTTCTGGAATTGGTGCCACAAGCACCACATTCAAAGCCCAGCTATGAAACACTGGGCACTGCCAACCACAAACAGGCCTTCACAGTGGACACAGTGAGAGAGAAATGGAAAAGGATATGAGGGTACATGGTGGCACAGGCTGACTCATCGTTGGCAACAAGAAGATTACATTTGTAAATGTGCTGCCACTTCACATCACTGTCTGATCAACTGTAATTGTAACTG